AGAAAAGAAGCAATATGTAAAACTACAAGCGCGACATCGTGTCGTACAAATGTTAACGTTAGTTGAATTCATTTTTGTGTCGGCTTCAGTATAGCGACAATAAACAACAAAACCAAACAAACAATGGATATAAAACAGCAAAATCCAAACGGAACCACTGGATTTCGTTCAAAGCATGATGTGATTCATACATGTGATGTTTGTGAGTGTGCGACCGACACGCTCGACTCCGGATCTGTTCCACATGACAAGAGTGAAGTTTCATCACATACTTTTTTTTTCGCTTTTCTCTCTTTCCCTCATCGGACTGCGCCGTACTGGACGAGAGAGTGATGTGGAATTTTACAGTAAAGAGACGTAATAATTAGAAGGCGTCGGCAATATACAAATTGGTCGTACTTTGATTTAGACGATACTAAATGTACAGCAATAAAAAAAGGCTTGAAACAAATAATAGCATGTTCTTTTTATTTCAATAGTAAACTTTGTGTTTCGCAAAACAATTTCAATAGTTTAATTCCTTTGAAAATAAATAAAACAGGTTTTTTTTTGTTAAAACAAAAAACAAACATTCAAAATTTTGCGCAGAATATAACGATCAGGATCACAGGTCAAGTGAGTAATACGCGAGAACCGTCAGAATTGTTGTCAAAATAAATGTTCTAACCTAAAATAGAATGTTCCACAAAGTAAATAAATTTTGTAAATTCGTGATAAAATGTCCAAGCCAAAAATGAGCAACACGAAACTCTTTCGATCATTTTGAATTCCAACAGCAATTTTGAATTGTTTTCATGCTGGAAAATGATGAAATCAGAAAAAAAAGTTTTGAAAAAAAAAAAAAAACAGATAGTTGTCACAGTACCCACATTGCCAATTGAAGACAAAAGAAAACGTTGGCAGCCAGTTTAACTTAAAAATCAATGCAAGCACCCAGCTTGGCTGCTCATTTTTAATGAATCGAAATGAAAATGTTGTGTTTTTTTTTTGGACTGCCATACGGGTTGCGAATATTTAAACAAAATGTGTTGAGCATATTAAATAGAGAGCAAAACAGTGTTGTTGTGACAATCGGTGAATAACACAAATCAACGACCAAAATGAATTAAATCGGCGCGAATACGGTAAGTGTATTTTAACCTAGGCCTTCACCGCAATCGCAACTGAATTCAATTCGGGCATTCAAAGTGAAACATTGATCAGTTCAAAAAAGTCGTTGTCGGTTGTGTCGATTGTGCACCACGAATCACCAAGTCAAAGCCAAAGTCAACCCGAACGAATATGAACACACAGCGTTGCCAGCTTCATTATTGCAAGCCCGAAAAATATCCAAGAAGCGACTTGCGCAATCCATTGTTGCTTGGATCGCTTCGAATCAGTATTCAAAGCACATATATGTGAATAAAAATCAAGGCGCACTCACGAATACACGCCGCTCATTTTCAACATCAAACCACATTGATTCATGTCGACTCGCAAGTTCACAGGAAAACAAAATTACGATTCTTTTTCTTCTGTTTTCTTCTCTTTCGACCTATTGTCGCACAGTCGCCGCGATATATACAAAACGGTTTCGTGGTCTGTTAGACCTTCGCGGATTTCTTCAAGAATCGTCGTATAGTAACATCAACATCAGCACCAAACACAACGACAAAACAAAGCAAAGTCGATGAAAGACAAATGGCGAAGAAAGAAAGAAGCAAGAGGTTAAAGAATAAAAACGAAATGAAATGAGAAAGAAAAGCAATGCGCATGATACCAAATCAAAAGTGCCAGAATGAGCAAAAGTATAATACATCAAATGCACGCATACACACTCACACGAATGGATGTGAAAGGAAAAAAAGTGATGCGAGGTATTTTCAAGAAGAAAAAAAAGCAAACACACACACACACAAACACATTAAAAATGCAGAAGAAGAGGTATAGAATCAGAACTGGTTTCCAACGAAATAACAAGTTTTAAGACGAAAGAAGAAAATTAGCCATTTTCTCTCTATGCCTCAGTTTCATCATTTCACAAGCGTTTGCACAATGCACTCTCTCATCAAGAAATGTGCTCCACACACATGTACACATCACTAAGCACGGGCAAATATTCTAAGCGTTACAAAACAGTACATCAATTTTAACTCGATCCACTCCAAAGCCATACACGCCATTCAACGATTGTGGCGACTTGAAAACGGCACCACTGTAACCGAGAGTACGGATTTGTGTGTCGGTTGTGTTTTCTTTTTTTATTTTCTAAATTTCGATGAATATATGTTAGTTATGGAATAGTTTTTTGAGCGACTAACTATATGGACTATGGATTTGAATAGATTAAGAATGGAGAAATGGAATCAAGACGAAATTAGTATATAGATGTGTGTTAACAACTATAATTATGAGTTCTCAATGAATTCGATAGGTAACAGGCAGCAACAGTCGCGTATAAAACGATTTCAACACTTGCGAAAGGCAAATATAAGCATCACGTGAATCATTCAGATTTCATTTCTACTTGCAACACTCATTATTATCGATATTCATATTCGAAGCAAGTGAAATTCGAAATGTGTTGAAATTCATTCTGTCTTTTGACGTTAACAATGAATAAACAAAATATTTTGTGCTATTTTTTTTCTCTACCTATCGCATCTATAAATAACATCAACGGTTTTGGGATGAAATACGAAACCTGATTCGATCTCCCACCCCAAATTTCACATAGCACCCAATGAATAAACAATTCGATTCTCTTTTCTTTCTCCTTTAAAACCGCAAGCAAATATTTAAAGAATGTCGAAACTCCATAAGGAAATACGTTGAAAAATGACGTTTTATAATATTTAAAATCTTAAAAATCGAACAACTGTCATGTGAGAAAGATGATTAAAGCTGTAAAGGTCGTTGCGGTACATCATCTCATACATGCTCTAATCCGACAAGAAATTATATGAAAGAAACCGAAAATCAGCATGGAAAAAAAAGAAATAACAACTCTGATTCACACATCAGTATACATACAATGAGATAGATTGCAGTGAAGCATCAACAACAGCATCGTCAGCAGCGAAAAAAGGCATACTCGAAATTAATTGTTAGTGATTTCATTTTTTCACCGTTATTTGTGCACGTCAAAATCGAGTGAGCGAGAACAAACACACGCGCGGCATAGCGAAAAACAACAACAAAAAACTTGCTTTGACTAAAAAAAGAATGATCTCATTGGTTGTGTATTCTCATTTCGTTGTGTTTCATTTTAATTTCATTTGTCTCTGTCGTGCGTTCATTGTCCAATGGCATCGCAGAAATACAGAGAATAGCTAGTAGTTTTTGTTGCTGTTTTTTTTTATTTATTTTTTTTTTTTTTCGTTCGTGTGTGCTTTTGTGCTAGAGAAGTGCGCGCGTTGCTTTGCGCATACATGATGAGATCGAAAATATTTATTGTTACACGACAGAGAAAGAATGAGATGAAGAGCGGCCCGTCCATACACATATAGGGAGATATTACGTATATAAATATTATACTATATATATTACGCGATATTTTATTCATTTTCGCAATTAGCATGACTTGTTTTTATTTCTCATTCGCTCACCGTATACCGTTTTCAGCTTCTCGTGCGCGGGTGCGCGCTCGCGCACGTTCGAGTCTGTTTTCTGTATTCATTTACTGGAACATATATTTTATTGAAATTTATTTATTGCGCGGTTATGCGCGAATCAAAGAATGAAAGAAAGGAGATGAAGAGAGACATATGAAACGCAAAGAAATAATGCGAAAAAAAACAACAACGATGAAGTCGACGACGGCGGCGGCAGTGATCATTCTCTGAAAAGAACGATTCTCCAGTGCTTCGTATCTCTTTGAGAAACGCGCATTATATCGACGAGAATGCTTTTTGTTCATATTTCTTCTTCACGCGAATATATACACAAATATCAAGTTTGTTGTTTTCGGATGAGAAGGGGAATCGCGCCAGTGTGTGTAGGTTTCTGTGTCTAAATATGTATGCTCATCTATTGGTTGAGATTATAAGCGCACGGTATATCGCAAACACTGTTCTTTCTAGGTCTTGTTGTGGCGGCGATCCGACTGCGTCAGTGTACAAGTAAGTATGTAAGTAAGTTGGTGATCTAGCAGTACTACGCTTATTCGATGTTGTTGTTGTTTTATTTATTTTATTTTGTTTTCTTCTGTTCTTCTACTGTACTGAACTGATCGATCGGTACTCTGTGTAAGAAAGCGCAAGCGAGACGGTCTTAACTCGCGGCTCATGCACAGACAGATAGGTATGTGTATTAACAGCTAGCTGTATGCTATGTGTAGCGCTTTTTGTGTTACCTGAACTATGTTTTCAATTTATTGTTATTATTATTATTCTCCAGGTTCCGTGGCGTACGTTTGTTGTTGTTGCTATACCTCGTGCTGTTAGTTGTAGTTGTAGTTCTTCGATATTCTTTTGATGCATCATTCATACGATGTTGAGACCGATTTTTGTTTTGTGTGCTCATATACGCAGAGAAATGGTTTGGCAGGCGGCTTAAACGAAAGCACCGCTCGTTCGTTCGCTCTCACAAGAGCCATTTCGCATACGTTGTGTGTGTATGTGTGTGTGTGTATGCGTTATTCTCTGCTATATGTATTCTTTTATATATATATATTTTGTGTGTCGAAGTCGGTGAGGTGAAGAATAACCGATCGTACACACTGATATCTCTCTCTCATACATCGTCTGCGTATCTTTGACTGAATCATACGTAGGAAGTGTGTGTTGTTTTGCTGTACTGTGCTTTGCTATTGTCGTTGTTGCTGTTACTGCTGCTGCTGTTGCTTCAGGTATACCATTGTTACCTTTATTCTCTCGTATTTTTAACACAAATACCAATACATGGGCCGTTATATACCGTTTGTGATGTTGATCGTCGAGCACATACGGCAGCAATGACAGCGGTACGGCGAAGAGCCAAGCAGTGGAAAAGATAGCTGTAAAGTGTTGCAAGGTAACAACTGTGTACATTAGGAGTTGGATAGCTGAAGAGTCTACGCGTGTTTTTATTTTCGGTCTTTCGTTTAACGGTTTTAAGAGAAAAAAAATAGAATCCAAAAGAATAACACTTTGATTTTTTCCAACATAAATTCTTTGTGAAACTGAATAGGAAAACTGAGAGAACTTTATAAATTTTGTAACAAATTGTGAAGCAAAAACAACAAAGCGACAACATTGATCAACTTAACTTGGATTTATCAATCAAATTTTATTGGGATTAAATTTTCGTTGAAAAAAAGTCAACTTCATGAATATCACATTGAACTGTATTGAAAAAAGTGATTTTGACACAAAATGTCATCGTTTAAGTACTTTAAACTATTTTATGTGCAGCTGGTGAATAACTCAGGCGTCTTTGTCAAATAAATTTATTTATCATTTTTTTTTGCAAATGGAAGATTAAGAAGAAAGTGTCAGGCAATAACGAGTTCTCGATGAACAAGAACGACAAACGAAAAAAATAATAATAAACAAACGACGACTACGATTGAATATACTTAAAAACTATTCAAATTCAATTGAAACGCAATAAATAAACAATATCCGATTGGTTAAAGTGACTATACTGAACTGTGGTTTCTAATATACATGTGGAATATTTGTGTGATCATACCAAGTGTGTGAATCAGTTTTAACCAGACGGAATTGAACGAGAGATAAACGGAGTTTACAAAGAGCGAAAAAAACGACTCAAAAAGAATAACAAACACTTGATTTAAATCATATTTATTTTTTCGATAAAAGAGAACACATAATACAAACGACAAAATGCCGAAAATATTTTTGATTAAAAATCGCTTACATCAACAGCAATTGAAATTGCTCGAGTCACAGAATTTGCTTGCGGCAAAGAATGACTTGGGATTGGGTGATCGCGATGAAGATGACTCTCACTCTGGCGATGGACAAAATGAACCATTATCCTTGGTTTCACGTAACAGGGACAGAGATAGCAATGATTCTGGTGAGTATCATAGTATATCATTTTGTCTTCTTATATTTTTTTAATGCACGGGTTTATAAATGTCAATTTCAAAAGAAAAATATTTCAACATGTCAAATTACGCACATCAATCGACGGATCATGGGAATGATTCATGGGATTATTAAAAATTCATTAGTCATTCCATCGGTTTGCCAGATGAAAAAGTGGCTGGCCAGAGCGTGGGACGGTTAATCCAGTGAAACAAAAGATTCAAATGCATTTGATGACTTTTTCAAAATGAAAACGACGAACCCTTCTCTTTGAAATCGCAACCACCCTCGCAACAAAAGCTTAATCATTCCGAATTTTATTCTCAACATTATTGAAAGTCATGGCGGTGAATCAAAAACCAAAAATTCAAAATTAGGAGCTACACCAAAGATGGCATTCAACTTTCTTTCATTTTGAATGCAGTTGAAATTCTGATTATCATTCTCGATTCATTGTGAAAAATTGATTATTTTGCAAACTATCGCATAGTTAATATCTCTACCGTTTTTAAAGGTGGGATGAATCACAAAGCCATTAATTAGATAAATTACATCTCGATCACTATCATTAAGCCATGCATATTACCAGATGTAAATTTTTCAGATCTGGGCGATTTCAATTTGCTTCTTCTTGAATTCATTTAAGGTGAAATGATTTTTTTCTGTTCTTTTCAAAAATCATTAAAAAAAAGACTTTTAATGCAACTTTTTGTGAACAATTGACCACAGGTATCGACACAAGTACACTTCTGCGAAGGTATTTTACTACTTTGAAATAAGTGAAAATGAGTCGAATGCGCGCGGTAACCCAAAAATGAGGAAACAAAAATTTGAAAACCAACTGACCATTTTGCCATTGTTTTCTTTCATTATCTTCCAAATGGAACCCAACCAAATATGTTGCCTTCATTATGAGTCTTAAAATATTTGTATCAACTTTCCTAACTGAAAACATTTCGATAGAATTTGAATGAAAAGGTTTGCAAAACTTATTACCTTTTTTTTGTGAAAATAAAATCACTTTCACCATCGTCAATATAATATTTCTGTCATTTTTTCTTATGTCAAAAATATAAGCAAACGACATCAATAAACGATATTATATAAGTGAAGTATCGACAAATTGCATTGATAATAATTATAAAAATCTACAGTCAAAAATGTGAACTGATTATATTTGAAATGTGCTAATAAGGGAGACCCGTTTTATGTTCGATATTGAATTTGCAGTTTAAATATGACAACAAAAACAATCCAGCATATTTATCAAGTGACGGTCACAAGTGTAATTTACACTTCATCAAAATGCGATAATATTTAGCTCAACTCAAAGCTTCCACCAGTGTATGGTGAGCGCTCTTAAATGTGTGGATAAATGAAGCAAAAAAAAGATATAGAGACAGCGATTGCATAAAATGTCTATTGACCCACGATCAATTAGCAATTCGATTAGTTGACGTGTTTCAATGTAATCGTGTTCGTTCATTCGCATGTGAGATCGTGATCACAAATCAATCAGCGTTGTTCTAGAATTCAGAACGACCGCAAACAACTTTGGCAATCAGAACATGTTAGCGTTTTTGTTCTAGATTGATGTTTCTCTCTCCCTCTCTCTCTCTATCTCCGCATCATTCTAAGGCTCGTTTCATCCGTGCGCTGTCAGTAAAATACAAACTGATGAAATCTTTCTTATCAGATGCAGTCGTAAAAATGATGTATGTAAATTTCGGACGTTTTAAATCCTCAGTTAATGGGATCAGCAACCAATTTTTTTCCGATTCAACACGTGTTACAAAATGTCAAATTAATATGCAAAATTTAAATGTTGAACTTTACCTCATTTCTGGCTTCGGTCTTGTTTTTTCAAACATAGTGTCCAACATAACCGATTTTTGTGCGAAACGAATTGAACGTAATTAATGCGCTATTCAAAAGATACGATTTGAAGAAATCGTCAACAGCATAGCAATTATTCATTTAGGTGTATTAATTACTGCTTAGATCACACACATACTGAATATCTGTGCACACCGCCAATTAAGTATAGTTTTGCGGTGCAATACTAGAACACTTTTTTTGCTCTCTTCGTTTCGAACATTATATATCAACACAAGTGCATGGTTTACACACAAAACGGAGTACAATTGGGCCCGTTAACACATGTTAAAATAAGACAGCGGTATGTAACACACACACGCGCATACAAAAACGTTTAAATATTCATTGAATATTTTTATTCACCTTGGTCTTGGCATGAATTTTCAGTTATTTTTTTTCTTCATTCGTTTGCGATGCAAAATGTTCGTTGATCGTTGTAGTCGTCGAACGACTTTGTCATTACCATGTGTGTATGTGATGGCATCACATGTGTGTGTGTGTGATGCCGCCAAATGTTCTGTGATAATGAAAGCAATTTAGAATTGTGAATATATTTTTGGAAGCTTTAAAAATGACATGCCTTTCATTGATTTTGGATGATGCATGATCAGGCTTAATTGATTACATCACATAAAATTGCATGACAAATGCTTCATTGTTGTCTGTTCTTTTTTCTTTATTGTGTTTGTCAAAACGATTTGCAGTTGCACATTTTCAATTTGCAACTAGTAGACAATATGTATATATTACATCAGCGTCACATTCAGCGAAGACAGCACACACCTGTGTACAATAAAAAAAAAGTGCGAGAGACAAAGAGACTTGTCTTTTGTGTGTTTGAATCAACTTGCCAGGCGGCAGAGTGCAAATTCTCAACACACTGAACGAAATTTTTGAAAACAGCGACAATGGAGAGAAAGAGAAAGAAAAAAAGCGTCAGGCGCATGTCGCTTGAACCGATGACGAGACTTCCACTGATATAAATAAATAAATACTCGAACCACATTATACACAAAACGCATCGATTATTATAATGAAAAACAACAGCAAAACGGACAATTTTTAGGTCAGGGGCAACATGATTATACTGAATGTATACAGCCGTTGCCGTTCATCGTTTTCTTTTCGAACGCTTTTTTTTCTCTGTTTAAACTCATTTTATTCGCATAAAATTGTTCCGAAACGAACTACGCCTGAACAAAAAAAAAAAAACAACAGAAACAGCGCAACAACAGCAGTACTCACCGTTTTTTATTTTTATTTGTTTCGACGCGCCTTTTTCGTCAGGTTTTGCAAAGCAACCGTTTTATTTAAAATATTATCATCAAACATTTTTTTTTCAATATTTTTCGGCAATTTCGGCAAAACCATCCATCAAAAGTGTTGCGAATCGATTAAAGCCAAATTTGGAAACAAAGAAAAGATGAAAGACGAATGAAGATCGCACAAATTGACCGTTGCTTAAAATCGATATTAACATGACATTTTGCTTGCAATATCGAGATACAGATAACGATCGAAATAGATAAATCAGTCAAATTGATGTTTAAGTGAAAAATCACTCTAATTTTCAGATAAATGCTTTTAATCTCTTTCTCTTTCGTTCATCGGTTTAAATGCTTTTGAAGATTTAAAAGAAAAAACGCAGAGTTGTGCTGATTTTTTCGAACGAATCACAATGCAAACACACATACATAAGATCAAATCATTATAATTGTCGATGTTTGAGAAGATTGAAATAAAGCTCGTTTTGCTGAAAAGCGAAAATGATGCGAGCGAGAAAAAGAGGCATGGTTCAAGCGATCGCTTGAATGGGGCCACGGTGATTTTGTTGTAAAGTCGTTGTAAAATCGATGACCGTGAATTAAATTATGCATTTCTCACACGCCACCAACAAAACGGTATATTTATATTGGAATAGCATCGATTGAGTAGCAGCTACAGCAGCGGTGACCGCAACAACAACACCATCGTAAAAACGCGATTTCAAACTCATAATGTAAATGAGATGCAGTGCGCATTTAAAAAAAAGGCTATTCCATTCCACTTAATTATAAGATTTTATTTGTTGGAGAATTGACAAATTGGGTCGATATTTGTATTTAATAGAGTCTCTATTCATCGGCATAATTTTTTAAATGTTCTAACTTGAACTGTTCTAATAATGACTTTGCTGCCCACTGCATGTCTGATTGTAAAACAACTGGAATTGACATACATGAAGCAGAAGGAGGGGAGACAGAGACGAAAAATTAATCGAAAGTTTTTCTAATTGCGTGATCGCCATTGTTGGAGTTTTTTTGAATGTTTGTCCAATTCGATCGCCTGATGTTTTTTTGATAAAAATGTACACAAAAATAAAAGATTAAATGGACTCGATCGAAGAAAAGTCAGTCAGAAGAGCAGACGATTCAAAATAATTACATTTTTCCCTTTAAATATGGGAAATTACAGTTCGTTTGTGTGTTTTTTTCTCTCTCCTTTCCACTTCACGCATTTGTCTCAATAAAACCGGACGAAAACTAGACCAGACACATAAAAAACGATTCACGGCTCATTTCGATTTTTAAAACCAAGCAAGAAGCAGAAAAAAACGTTATCTCATGCGTTACAATAATAATAACCCCACACAAAATACCACCACCAATGCACGCTGGCCATAAAATCGTTTCTCGAAACAGAGAAAAACGTCGACGACGAAACAACCTTATTCACCTCTTGTGTTGGATGATTTATACCTTCGAACGATGATTATTGTATTATAAAATGAAGTGAACGAAGGCGATGAAGATGATGACGATAAGATTTGTTTTTTTTTTTTCATTCTTCATTTTTCCTTTTCCACCGACTAAGCCAACATAAATGCACAGAATAATAATGATTGTGGTCGACGCTTTTGTGAAGCGATATTTTGTTGCTCAAGCTATAAATGCGTGATCGTCGCAAGGTATCAGCTCTCTCAGTCGGTTCTTTATCACACTTGGATTGGTGTTGGTTGGATTGCATTTTTTTTCTTTCTTTCATTCGTTTTGTATGTTTGAACATGCACTTAAATAAACTCTTACAAACACACATGCAGCGAGAGCGAGAGAAGAGAAGAGAAAAAAAAAT